TTCCTTTGGTTCTAAAACTTTTTAAAGTCTTAATTAACGCGACATCCCATCGATACAATTTGTACATTTATAGGACAATATGTAAGGGATTATCTGTTTGTTATGAATCATCACCAATGGTTATTTGAATAACCCTCCCTCTCCTCTCTGCCCTACCCCTGCCGCCGCCGCCGCCAAAAAAAAAAAGGAAAAAATATCCGCAGTAAGATCAATGATGCTTGATATCTTTTTACTACTTTTCTAATGATACGCGTATGCGTATATATTATGTTCTTTCAGGCTGCTTAATAATGATATATTACAATATTATGGTATCGCTTATGATAATCATTCAATATCATTGTACATCTCATTATGATTATTATATATTTTTGTATCGATTATATCATTATTATTACTATCATTATTATGATCATATTATTTAACTTCATGTGATTATGATAACATTTTATTACTGTTATTGTTATCATAATATTCTTGTATCTCATATGATAATATTTGGCCCATATAGCCTTGTACCTTAGTGGCTGCGACAGTCACAACCTATTTTGCTGAGACCACTCGTAGTTCTGCCTCAAGCGTTGACAGGGAAATAACTCACGGTTTAAAGGAGACAAAAGATAGAATTGCCCATAGTTGGAACAGAAGTCCACATTCATAGTTGGATTTCATGAAATGAGAAAACCCCGACTTAAAGCGAAGTTACACCGGTAATTTTCTTCTCCTGAGCACAATCATTGGTTTGACAAAGCGGGTGGCATTTTATTATGACGCTTTCTCGTCTGCAGACATTTTGCTTAGGTACAGGGAGAATATATTTAGTGCTACGCTTATTGCTTTGATATTCCCCGCCCTGTTCTGAGCTTTTCACATCTTATTTTGTTTATGCACTTTGCTTGAAGGAAATAGCTGTAGCGATTTCACTACAGAAGAAACAGCAAAATAAATTTGAATCATGTGCGTGCACTTCGAAGCAGAGAGAAAGTTATTTAGATAAAAAAGAATAACAATGTTGCTCAAATTAACCAAATTGCACCCGTTAATTGGAGTTTTCTTTAGAAGTAAAGCTCTTTTTCAATTTTATGGTAATGTGAATATTTTATCAGGTTTAGGTTGGGTTGTGTTCTAGTATATGTCGGGTTTTTAGATCCAGTTTGGGTTGGGTTTCATGATGGTATTACTATTACTCAGTTTTATCATGTCGTCAGTTTTTTAAATCTGGATTTGTGTACGCTTTTACTCTATTGTTATTCCAACAGAGTATTACTTGAACATAATGTTATAGTTTTACTTTTTATTGATATAGAAATCTTAGTTAAAGCCTGTAGATTTGTAAACAATTCTGCATATTTGTATTTCATTTTTTCGTTTCTTTTTCTCACTACGTATTGTATTTATTGTTACTGTAGTCTAGGAAGATGGTACCTTCACTATTGTCATCGGAAATATCCGCACTCCTGTATCACACGCTCTAAGACAGCTTACACCTATACTGCAACAGTTCGAGCTCATATTCCAGCAGAAAAATGCTCTACTTTTCTCAGCAACATACAGATAATGCTAAGACTATAACTATAGTGATAGAAACTCATCATAATAATAACAACAACAATAATATAGAGGTTGTTTACCGTAAGTATAGGACAATGTGTTAATTGTATATAGTTGCTGACCAGTGTGTACAAAACGTGTTTAATAATTGGTAACTATTAATGTGTAATGTGTATGTATGTATATGTGTTAAGCATATGTGTTAAGCGTATGTGTTAAGTATATTTGTTAAGTGTATGATGTGTTTGTGTCCACAGGAGGTGATGGAGTATCTGGACTCTGACACTCTGGTCAGTGTGATGATGGAGGCCTACAACGCTCTAGGGGTGAGTGGGGGTTGTTGTGGTGGTGGTTGTTGTGGTGGTGGTTGTGGGGGTTGTTGTGGTGGTGGTTGTAGTGGTGGTGGTTGTGGTGGTGGTTGTGGTGGTGGTTGTGGTGGTGGTTGTGGTGGTGGTTGTGGTGGTGGT